TTCCCTACATTTTCTTGAGCTTCACGGAAAAGGAGGGATAAAGAAAGGAAAACAAGTGCACAAACGGTTTCCAAAAATAATGACACTAAATACAAAGTGTAAGATACATTTTTTAATTCAGCAATGCTTAGCTTTCCATAATACTTTCAGAAATGCCCATATCTTTAAAATAATCTGTTCTTTTGATTTACTTGTTAACTTCCAGCTGAAATTTTTAAGTAGCTCTACTTGAGTGAGTTGAGTGAAGAGCCTCTTGAAGAAAAAAAAAGGAGTATATGCACTTAATGAGCAACAAAGTTAGTGATCTGTAGCAATTACCCAAGTGAGTAATTTTGTTTCATTAATGCACCCTGAGGCACCAAGCTGTTTTGGCAATGGGCACTGCAGGACCACTGCAATGCTCAAAGAGGCGGTTATGTTACCAACCGCAGTGTAAGGGATAGGTTTACCAACAAGGAGTGAGAGAGAAAGTAGCTTAGCATAAGAAGAAAATTAAAGACCATATATTATTGTCACGGAAGCCAATGGCAATACTTGTAAAGACTGTAGCAGAGCAGAGTCACACATCAGTTTTTTCTGGCTTTTCCAACTTCCAGTTTCTTGGTTACTGTGTTTTTTTAAGAAGGCATCTTGATGCACATAGTATCTCAGTGTGAAAGGGGAAGGAGGGCATGTACCTGGCTTACTTGAATCCTCCTCAGAGGAAAGTAGAAAAACAGATAGTAGAAATGAAGGCAAAGCTGTATTATAACTTCTAGACATCTCTGGATCACTCGGTATGGGACACACAGAGCATATGATATATTAAGGAGAAGTATTGAATATCCATAAAGGAGTACTAGCAAATGGTGTCAATTTTCAAACGCTTTGCTTTGTCAGCTTCACAAATTTAAAATCAATCATCAAAAAGTCTCTGTATAGATCAGCTGAAAAGACATAAAACCTTACGGTTATCTCCCTGACAAAAAAAAAGGTGAGTTCATAAAGACTCAGACTGTCAGAATTCTGTAGTGCTGAAAACTGGGGTCATCCAACAACTCAGTTTAGAAATAAATGCTGAGGAAAAACAATGGCAGCCAGTGCACTGCTAATAAATACATCTTGGAGGACACAGAAAAAAAGATTTCACAGGGAGGCTTATTTTCAGCATGAATGCCACTTTCTCACTGTATTAACATAAACATGAGAGAAAAAACAGCTACAAATAAAAAATTCTTGGGCAGTCCCTGGAGATTATTCAAAAATATGTAGTTTTTGTACACCACAGTGTAAAAGTAGTCATTAAAATTAATTTTTAAAATGCCCTGTCCAATATTAGTTGCCTGATGTCCTTCCTTTGATCATAAATTATAAATGAACCAGCAGAAAATGAAGAAACCATGATTCCATTAATGAATTATTTAGGTGTGATTGTTAGTTTTCACAATCATTGGGCTAATAAGCTCAGACTTGTGACACTGAAGTATTTCTCATTTGAGGGTGATGATGGTGGTAATGTTATTAACACCATTATCAGTGTGTCCCATGAAGCATAAACCCAGCCGGCTCCTTTGGTGGCTACGTCGTGGCATGGCCACTGGAGCTTTCATTGGGTCTGTACTGCAGGAGAGGGAGTTGACACTGAGGAAAGTTGGTGTGAACAGGGTAGCTCCCCCCAAGGCAACCCTAAAAAGGACAAGCAGCATACTGACACGAGAGGATCTTCTCCCCACAGCAGCCTGACAGTGCCAGCAGCACATGCAACTGGTTTGGCCCATTCCAGCGGTGGCTCCGGGAGCTCCAGTGAGTCCGAGAGCAGCTCTGAGTCCGACTCTGACAGTGAGAGCAGCTCCAGTGACAGCGAGTGCAACGAGGAGTCGCGCAGTGCCACACCAGAGGTAAAGCCACACTCTCAGCTCCTCACCAGTGCAGCTCGAAGGGGGAGGTGTAAAAGAGAGTGAAATCCTGCTCCTTTTTAGGAAAATGTTGGAGTTCTGTGCTGTTTGATGCTGTTGACTTTCTTCTCCCTCTACCGTTTTACGTGTATGACCCACATACTCATTCTAGCTTTTGGAAGAATCCTTCTGGCCTACATTTGAATTGCTTTAAAGAAATATTTAGATTTTTGCCAGTAGCTGGAGAAGATTTTATTGACACAGTATTCAGCTGGGACTAAGGAAAGGCAACATGACAAAACTATGTCTTCAGGGACCAGCTAAACTTTTTAGTTGTACTAAATTTCTCCAGGGCCACATTGTAAACCAGATAAGGAAGCCTAATTAACCATAAATACTCCATAAATACTCCCATAAAACTAGCAGTCACCACTAGTTGACTGAAATAAAAGGCTACATTAAAAACTTTCTCATTTAAAGGGAAAGTCATTGCTTCTGTCTGAATTTGTTTCTTGTCATTCTTCAAACTGCAGCCTGAACCTCCCTCAACAAACAAATGGCAGCTGGATAAATGGCTAAATAAAGTGAACCCCCACAACAAGACCATCATCAGCAATCAAAATGACCCTCACAGCGAGACCAGCTCCCAGGCCCAGAGCAACCAGCAGGCTGAAGGGCCAAACAAAGGGAAGCTCAACAGTAGCCTGCCTCCAACCGATTCCAAAGACCGGGCGATCCTTAGTCCCATCCGAGAGAAAGCCAAACCGCGGGTTGCCCAGAAAACCCCAGAGGCAAAAAGCTCCAAGCAGAAGTCACCAGCTCATAATGAGCCAACTTCACAAAGGACTACTGGGAAAAAGCAACCCAAAAAGGTAGAAAGGACTTCCAGTGTAGAAGAGTATAACTGGCCCAAACCAAATAATACCAGCAACACTCCCAAAGAAAAAGACACACAGGACCCTCCCGAGCAGCCAAAGGTTCGAACTAAAGCAGCAGTTGGGAAGACTGCTCCAAGGAAAGAACCACGAAGTAGCACAGGTCTCACTTCAGAGAAGAAAAAGTACAGAGGCCCCAGCAAAATTGTCCCCAAGTCCCGCGAATTCATTGAAACAGATTCATCTACTTCTGACTCAAATACAGATCAGGAGGAGAGCTTGCAGGCTAAAGTATTGCCAGCTTGCACTGGATCTGGCAATGGTGTCAAAGTGAAGGACTCTGGCAGTAACATCCTCAGCGTAAGTAGTTTAACTAGCAATGGCAGCAACACATCCATTGACCAGACCAGCAATGACTTGGAGGAGCAGCTCTTTTCTCCTATCCCAATTGTACAAAATGAACTTCTGTCCCCCCTGAGAGAATATGAAGAACTCAAATCTCTGTGGGTGAAAATAGACCTTAGTTTACTCTCTAGGATACCTGGACAAGAGCCTTTTGAAACCACGTCTGTGAAAAGTGAACCAAGAGAGGCAACTGTGAAACACAGGCGACCATCTCGAGAGTCCCCTACCCCAGCAGCTGAAAAACCATCCACAAAATCCAAAAGAAAACACAAGGTAAGTTGTTTTCCTCATTCAGAGGAAAACGCTGACTTTCTATGCATCCTCGAGGTCACGACCACAGTTGATGATTCCTCACTGCTCCTGCAGCAGGGCTGTAAGGAGACGTCGTAACACTAAGGCTTTATTGTTTTTACAAAGGGCATACATTTACAAGTGCATTGCAAATTAACATCAGAAACTAGTAAAAAACAAACTCCAGCTGGCAAAATCAATGAACAACGTATTTTTTTGAGATTTGTCTTACAAGCTTTTTCACTGTATTTGCTCACTTACCCATTAATTTCCAGTGTTCTGTAATCTGCAGAAAGATTCCCAGTGGTGAGTTCATATTACTACAGGTTCAGCCATACTCAGAAAATGTGACTTTTATTTGGAAGTCAGGGTCTTACTGTCTGCAGAATTAAGGCATTTTCACCACTGGCTTAAAAAGGCATAGTTTCACTAAAGTCAATGGAATGGTGCTTGCTTATGCTTCTGGTGAATTTAGTCTTTATATTGTTATGTTGTATAAACAAATGTGATTCATAGAAATATCATTGCTTAAGTAGCTGCTTTCTCTACACAGCTACCTGAAAAGGCAAATGTATTTTGACTTAAGGCGTTATGTTTTATCATATGTTTTATGTTATTTATGCCCAAGAGTATCCTGTCTTGTGAGATATGACACTGCACTTCAAACTAAATGTGTTTTCAGAAAAGAATCTGAAGTTTTATAAATGAATTTTTGTAATCAGTTTTTCCAGCTGAAATGGTTGTGCTCTGGTCTGTCTGTGAGAAGTCACCATAGTGTATATTTTTTTATACCCCAAATTTCATAAATCATTGTGAATGTGACTTCAGCTGTCTGTTCTAGTGGACGACTTGAAATCCTGAGTTTGAGCAGTCCAGTGGTACGAGAGAGTTAATAGAAGACAAAGACAGACAATGCCAGGCAGACACAGGGTCTGCACCCCTGCGTACATGAGTCACTGCACTGGCTCCTTCCCTGTTGAATTAAGTGGAAATAATCACATGAGTAAACTCAGCAGATTTTTATTCAATTTATATTCTAGCTGTACACTGAAGGCAGACATGTAAGAAGGAAGGAGAAGAGAAGAAAGAGGAAAGGGATATATAAATGTCCATGCTTATATGTATGTATAAGTATATCAGGGTGTATGTTAATTATACAAGAAACCTAGTGGAGTGTCAGTATGATGGAGAAGGAATCTTGGCTAAAACACAAGTATAGTCTTGACAACTAAACTGAGGGCTCTCAGGAAAAAAAAAGGATTATATGAAAGTTGGAACCTCATAATTTCATTAGCTGGGACTTTGAATTAGAAAGTAACAAAATGAGGCATCTTGCTCCAGGACTGTACAAATGTAAGCTACACTCCGAAACAGCCCGTTCAGTCGCTGTATGATTGTTCACCGCTACCCAAAGGGAAACAAACCAATTAGGATGACTTGAGGGTATATCAACAGTTAAAACAGAGTAGGGAGAGCCTGATTTGTCTTTCTAAATCATGCTATTAAAAGATTTATTTTAGTCATCTATTAGTGGGCTTGAAGGCTGATACAAAGTTTCCAGTGACAGAACAGTAATCAGCTTTGCTTGTATCATCCTAGTTCAGGCACAAAAGTCATGCATCAGGGAATCTTTCAAAGCAAACTTTAAACCAGCTATCATTGTTAATGACTACCCCAACTCAGTCCTGTAGTCTTTTAGCCCTGTGAGGAATACTTACTCAGGGAAGTTTTCTCATCAACTTCCATTAAGTCAATAAGTACAAGCTATTTACTTGAGTAAGATTTGGTACTATCAAGTCATTCCATCTGAATTATTAATTAAATTCCAGTGCACTACAAAAGATAACTATAGCACATGAGGTATTTTGCTTCCTAATTGTCACTTGTTATATAACTTCATGTCATGTGTTTGGAGCACGTTTAGCCCTGATTTCAGGTGACTTTGACTTCTTTTCACCTGTATTTTAACTACTGCTACTGTAAAGGATGTACACTGAGATTCCTGAGCTCCTCTTAATGGCAAGTGAAATTGTGCATAGATTCTGGATCTTTTAAGCTCTACTATTTTTGTTAAAGCAGACGGAAAGCCTGGATACCTTTGTTGAAAGCAAGAAGCAGCGCCTGGAGGACCCTTCAGCTTCATGCCTGCTCCCACCTTGTATCTCTCCGATACCAAATCACAGATTAACCAGCACTAAAGAGTAAGTTCTTTTTTTTCACATATCAGTCATGAGGGATTTCACAGTACTGTTCTACAACTGTCTTTGCTGTAGAGCCAGATGAGTATTACAGCTCATAACCATAAGTGACCTGGCATTGCTATTACCATCCATTAGGAAGAGGGTCCACATGGTGTTGGATGAGATTCGTTCATCCTTCCAACGAACTACATGAATTCAGAGTGCCATCACAATCCTGGGATACTCTTCTACCCCCATACTGCATCCTTTCAATGTTCGTTCTTGCCCCATCATCCTTAACCTCTATGGCCAGAGAATCCTACTAAAAGTGGGCTTTATTTGATTGTCTGGAATTTATTTTTTAAAATCGTTTTCGTAAGAGACAGTTCTCAGTTTTATTGAACAAAAGTGACAATAGTGACTTGCCATTCACTTCAGCAGCTCTTATTCTTTAACTGTATATACAGCAACGCTGGGGTGACCATCCTAAATGTTTCAGACATACATGCTTTGTATTTTAGCAGACATATAATCAAATAGTTGGTGCCTTTCAGAGTGTCTTTGAGAGATGGCTATAATGCTTGAGCAAACAGGCGCCACGTAAATAATGATTCTGATTAGTATAATCACAAGATTAACATTCTATAAATAACCAAAGAGTCCAATTCCCTTCTGTCATCAATTTTGTGCTTTTACTATTTTGAGATGAGGCACTTCTTTCTGCTTCACACTAGGACAAGCAAAGAATCAAACCTGCAACGTGCTTCTGAAAACAATTTGATTGTAGTGGTATTTAAATTTAGATAAAGTTCCAAAATCATTTATGAAATGGCACACAAATTTCAAAATCCATAAAGAGGGCTGAGCATCATTTTATTTATACTGGTGTAATTACAGAGTAACTTCAGTCCTTGAACTAACCTCTCATTCTACCCCTGAGAAAATCAGGAAAGGCAGGTGAGTTGAAAGTTACAATGTGATCTGTAACATGTTGTACATTTGATAAACATCATAATGGGTCTTGCCTGTTTGTCATTGCTAGAAATACAATGAGCAGAGATATATCGCAGAGGGAATCAAGGATTATCTATCCCCAACACCTCCACAATCCATTAAAAAAATCTTGCCATTCTTGTCATCAGCAAGCCCTAAGGATCCACCCCCAACCTGATGTTTCTTAATTTGAGCTTGTTTTCCAGGTCATTAATTTGATTCCTCGGAGCTTTCAAGCCTTTGGTATTCTCTGTTAAAATATAATTGTGTCCATCAATAGTTATTTCCATATGCTAGCTTTTCCTCTCATTTGTCTCAAGTTTTGAAACAAAATTTTCTGACTTTTTTTCCACTGCAGTGATTGAGACCTGGATCACACTGCATTTGTTATTAGTGTCTTCTGAGTTTGCTTGAAACAAGTACAATACTGTTTGATAATCCAGGTCTTCAACTCCCAGAGACGTGCAACTGAATATAGATGGACATATTCCCCAAAAGATTAGGGAGCTGGCTGAACTGTGTGATGACAAATTTCTGGAGAGCCCCAGGTTGTTTTTAAGCAGTCAGGAGTGGTTCTGTGCTCCAGAGGGTTAAGTAGAGTTTTAAGGGGAGGCACAAGAAAGGGGAAGCTGAAAGTACAGTGTTCAAGGGCATGGGGAATATAGCATTTTAGTGGTAGAAGGCTGAGAGACAGACTTTGCCATTTGTTCCTTTATTCCCAAAGGTTCTACATTTTCCTTCATAACTCCTAAGTCTATAAATGAGGACTTTGAGAAATGAGGGTGATTCAGCTACAGGTGTGATGATGATGTTCTTCCATTAAGAAGGTGTTACATCCCATGGTGGATGTTCTCACTCGTCCCATGCTGGATGTTCTCACTCGGGAGGAACCTTAGGTCTCCCCCGTTAGAACTGGATCCCTGTGCCAACAAGCCAAGTTCCCCAAGGCAGACTTCAGAGGCTTTCATTGGGCTTTTTTATAGGTATAGGAGTGTTTTGACAGAAGGACCATGATCTCTGGGCCAAAATTTGAAGCATTCAGGAGTCTGGAGGAATCAGTGAAAGATAGGCCATACCTGTGCTTTTGCAGCTCTCACTGGCTGCCTGTCTATGGTTTAGGCATCTGAATACAAGTCTCTCATAATCTTTCCCTGAATATATGGGCTCAATAAAGCAAGCAAAGATACACAGTTAATTTTTAAAGAGTTACATGTCTAATATCAGCAATTATATGCCTAATTTCCACAAGTTTCTATGGCCACATATACAATTTGAGTGTAGAGACTTCAAATGGTCAGCTGTGAATTTAAAAGCCATTCGCACAAGCAAGAGCCAGTTTATATTATGTAGTAATTGCATATGCCACTGGTTATCTGTCTGTTCCTTCCCTCACACGCTCTGGGGCTGATGCCTTTTCCTAAATCGGATGTGACACATATTTTCCTTATTTCTGATATTTCAGAGCAAATGAAGGAATAGATGATACTGTGTTTTGTCCAGGTAATTCATAGTAATACCTTAAAACACTGTTTTGAGGCTGGATTTTTGTCAGATTGGCTGCCCACTTTGCAGCAGAGGATTATGTATGTATTTACTTGCTTGCCAGAACAATTTTAATCTAATCATTAATTGTATGTGCAGCTGAATACCATTGATATCTGAATACCTGATTGGTAGACCCAGTCCAGGCACGGCACTATTCACCAACATTTGGCAGTTTCTAACAACAGAGTTATTTGCTGATACAAACCGTGAGTCTCAATTTCAGACTAGGCTTATACTAGTGAAACATGCCTGCTGTCTAACAGGCATGCTAGAAGTCTGTCTGAGGCAAACATTTCAGACTGTTTTTCAAGATTTCCTGTTCCCTTTTGTTTGACTTTTAGTTAAAGATGCACCTGTCCTTGGCAACATACAGTAGCCGATCCCTTGGGTAGTCACAACAGCGTTCATTGGGGTTTGTTCATGGCAGAGGCAGCTTTCTACATCTAACAATGACTTCAGCTTCATTCAGTTGCTGCCATATGGTCCAAACTAATGCGGGAGTGACCTTTCCCTGCTAACCCCCTGCAGAAAATCAGATACACCGTCAATGTGCGGCATTTCATTGTGGACAGGGAGAGTAGAGGCAAAAGAAAGCCAAGTGATTCGTGTAGACAATGGCTTTGTCTCACTAATAGGCCAGAGATACCACTGCATACCACAAGGAGTGGATAAAGGAAGGGCAAAGAAAGGCAGCTTGAAACGTGAGAGTAGATGGAAATTCTCCCTCGTTCACATACTGACCTCTTGTTGCCTGCTTGCTTGCTTTCTGCCCTGAAAGAAACCAGGCTGGGGAAAAAAAAGCAGATGGGAAGCCTTCTTGTTCCTTGATAATTGGCCTTTTCAGACACACAGATTAAACCCTGCAGCCACAAGACCATCAGTTCTGCTTGTATTTCTTCCTTGCACTTTTATTGTGTTTCTCCCTAGATTTTAAATATAGTTTAACTAACAATCATGTCAGCAAATTAAACCATTGAGTCTCGGTAATTATTGCAATAAATTCATTCAAAATTAGTGATTACTGCAATCAAAGACCAGTTTCTTAGCCCATTAACAACCCAAAGCAAAGTGACAATCTGGTTAAGTGCTGGTAACAAACTATTTCATGGAGGTTATTGTTAACATAAATGCTTTGGCATAAATCTGAGGAAGGTAACATTGCTAAATAAATTTTCAGCTTAATTCCTGTGAAAAGTCACAGGATTAAGTGGGCAATAGGGAAAAAAAAAGAAAAAACAAAAACAGACAGAATTATAACCGTATTGTTGGTTTTTTTTTTTTAATTTGAGTTATGTAAAAAAAAATATCCCTAAGCACATTTTCCTTTGCAGTTAAGTCTTCCTACCCACAGACTGACTTGTGTGCCAGCGCTGAGTAGCTGCACCTGTATCTTGGTTTGCCCCATCTTATATTTGGGTCCAAAGATGAAGTGAACTGGTGAAGTTTTAAGTAGTGAAGTTTTAACCATGGTACCTGCAGCTGCCTTAATTTTTTCTTGTACTACTCTCTTAATCCCTTCACTTCCATGTAGCAGCTGAGGAATGTTGCTTCGACTGCTTTATATGTGCCTTCAATTTCCCCATGCAGCGGAAGACTGTGCAAGTGACAGTCCTGCATTAGCCCTGGCAACAGCCAGGGATGTGCTGAGGAGCCTCACTAGTCGTGCAGAGTCAGATCCTAAAGAGGACTTGGCCAATGGCTCACATGCAGTTTTTCTTCAGACACTTTTGAGGTAGATCTGACAGACTTGGTTGCTCTTCCCTTTGCAGAGCTGTACCGGGGAGGATGAAGAGCTCCACACACCTCCTTGCAGAGCGGCACAGAGAACCCCTTTGCTCCATGCTCCCACCCATATATGCATGTTCAGGGTTCCCTGTGTAGGACACTCATTTGGGAGGCAGAAGGTTTGGATTCTGCTCCTGGGTATTTCATTAACTGTGTCTGCTTTGCCTCTGTACAATCCAGTAGCACTTGCACGTGCTTTCTTGGGGCAGTGCTTACCCTCCTTTGGAAAACTTTCCACTGGAAGAAGTTCAGAGTATTATTGTGCTATAGCTGTAGTAGGTTGTCTGAGTTCCAAAATGCCCTTTGCGGGTAAGAAAGGTAACAGATGGGGCAGGGGTAAGAAGGCTAACAGATGGGGCTTTGAGTGAAAACTTTTTGAAGGCCATGTTGCAGGACCACATGTGCATAAAATTGGTCTCCTCGAAAAACTGCCAGTCTCTTCCAACCTGGTCGCTTTCCTTTGATCTTCTTCAGTCCCATGTGTTTTCTGAGCAGGACAGCATCCATACCAGTCCTACTGTAAGACAAGACAAATTCTGTGCTCATTTTATTTCTTCAGTCTGAAGACCTTTAATACCAGAGAGTTTCAAATAAGATATGTTTAACTCTGCTTCAGTTGAAAATAGTTTTGAGTAGAAGAGATATAAAACCTGAAACATGGCGAGTTTGTTTGATTTCATTCTCTGATTTCACAGATAGACTAAATTTTTTTTATATCCCCAAAGGTCCAAAGTAGGGGAATGCCCAAAGCAGGTGCAGGTATTGATACTGTTGGTGAAACTGCAAAAGAGGCGAGACTGGAATGAGAGCGCGCTCCAGAATGAGGAGTAAGGAAACGTGGGTTGCCTTCTCCTCTGTCCCTGGTTACTTTAAGGCAAAGTAGATCTATAATTCCTGACACTGACTGAAAGTGACTGGGAACGATACATAAATTCTTGTTGACTTAATTTGTTATTGAAATTTTAGTCAATAATCATGAAAAGTAAATGATCGTGTAGTGCGATATTAAGATGTCTAACAAAAGATTAAAATTCAGGTTATCTTCATTGACTGAGCTGGGACAGTACCTAAAATAAAAATCTATGAGTAAATTAACATGTTAAATAGTCAGTGGAGTGCTGGGTTTTGTTTTTTTTCTTTTTTGATGGATTTGAGGGAAGAAAGGTCTAACAGGTTTTTTGTTTTTACTGTGTATCACAGCTGCCAATTCTAGCCAGCTAACAATTTCTGTACATGAAACAGACAATAGATTATCATATTACTCAAGCTTTCATGTCAAAACCATGTTCATTTTCTGAATCACGTTCAATTCATCAACCAATATTTGCTCAAGGGCTTTTGCCAGCTACAGTGTATCATTTTAATATAGTGTTGAACATTGGTTTTATTCTAGAGGTCAAATAATTATTGTCTTGTTACTGTTATGGTTATCATTTTGTAGTTGTTACAAGTTTTTTTTGTTTGTTCACATGCCATGTGCTATTATGTTTTTTTGCAAAGGTTGCTTATGTGGGCCCTAATCCACCTCTTAAAAAGATGCTTAATGTTAAACACATAAATAGTCATACTTCAAGTCAAAGGAACTAACCCCATATGTAAAACTTTCCAGCACTTTGCTGAGTCAGAACCTCTGTGACCTCTCAAATGAAGACTGACTCAAATTAGCATATAAATTGGGTGCAATTTGTACTAATGCACTGAGAGTTGTCCTCCAAAGCAGGAGGTTTCTGCAGCCGTTGAAAAGACAGAGGTAGCTCTTCTGTTTTCACTGCCTGTCCCCTTTTGACTTAGCTCCTACGACATGGGGACTGCAGGACATATTTGAGGGTAGAGCTAGCTTCTCAGTAAATAAAATCTAGAGCTTTGTGCTATGGACAATTAACCAAGGTTCTTGAAATGCAACTGGTTCTTATCTGTGTCCCAGGAGCAGCAGTAGCTCAGTGAAGAAGGTGGCAAAGAAAAGAGAAGAGAAGCTGTTCCCTCCTCCATTATCCCCCCTCTTGGACGAGCCTGTGCATCGGCGGCACAGCAGTGACAACAGCTCCTTCAGCCAAGACACCAACGTCACAAACACCTCTCAGACCAGCAGCTCTTCCTCCTCTGTTTCTAAACACAGAAAGAATGAAAATAAATCCTCTTCTAACTCCAAAGGAATCTGTGTAAGTAACCGACCTCAGCTGCTGGAAGTGAACAAGATAAAATAAAATTAACTTAATTTTGTTCTGTTTGATTTTTTTTTCCCAGTATCTATTTTTAAGTCTGTTTTCAAGAGCAGCGAGGAGTGGATCTTTACAGAGCAGGGCATAAGCAACTCTTGCAAGTTCTGTTTTTAGATCAGCGTTAGGCATCTACTTGGCGTTGCATGTCACTCCCTGAAACACCCTGTCCCTGAGCCTGAGGAGAGCCTCTGCAGCCACCAACTAGCTGCCATCAGTCCCTTAACTCTGTAGCAACCACACACACATTTTGAAAATAAAATTTCAAGAATTTTGGCATCCATCACCTGAATAATTACCCAAATTCTCAGCCAGAATTAAGCACTGTAGTTATACTGAATATTGCGGCCTAAACTAAACAGATAATAAAAATTTAAAGGAGAGCTACCTATCCATAGCACACTCAACATGGAAATATCTTCTCTCAGGCTTGCAGGCTCCCAGCTTACAGCAGTATTGTTTATTTACACCTAATCCCCATGAACTATGTATATAAGCTTTCAGATACCATGTGAATAGGGTTTTTTTTTTTTTTTCAAAAAACACCCCCATCATTCTGTTAGAGCCATCTCCCCATCAAAGGTTGTCACATAGACAATTCTTTCTTGCTGGCTTTTCACCAGATTCAGATGTCTTTTTACTGAAAATACATGATAAAGAGCCAAAACTAGAAGCTGCATAGCAAATTCACTAAAAAAAATGAAATTTCACATAGTTTGTCATTCTCTTTTAGGTTAAACGGGGAAACTTCAGGGTTTTGGTCCAGTTTAGAAAATAGTCCTCCCTCTAGAGTTTCAGACATAGCATTTATTATCAAACTGTATCTTAGTATCACTGTCAAAATTAAAAGATAAGAAGAGAATTCTGCCACAGAAAAGGACATGCATATCCGCATTTTTCACAGCTCGCTGCTTTGTGAAAGGTTGTTACCCTGCACTGTAATAGTGAAACTCACAAGTTACATTGGATCGTAGGTGACAAATCACTTCACCTTATTCATTCATCCCTGTTGCTTTCTGATATCATTGTGTCACTTCAAGCTGCGAGAGTAATACACCTGCCTTCAACTGAAATCAATGCCAAAATGAACTGCATATGTCAGCAAATAAACAATGCTATGTAAACAGCGGGGCCACTTCCTCTCACTCCCAGCATCTTTAGTCGGATTTATCCTTGCTCTATCTATTATCATGCTACATGAAATATTTGTCTCTTTAAAAATGTTAGATTTCTTTCGCTAGTTCATTGGTTCATCTGTAATTTAGTTTGTGGACCTAGCTGGCAAGTTGCAATTGCCTGATTTAAATGCCTCTGTTATCCTTCTGGTTTTAATCAATGCAAAGGCATAGCTCCTGACTTCTGCTTCCCGTTCTTCTCTCTGTTCTGTGTAGCAAGGGTGAGGAAACGGTTCCTTGCTGAAATCCGAGCAAATTTTTTAAACACCTTATAGTTAGCTAATAATAATATAGAAAAAAAGGTTACATTAGTGTGATACACCTTGAATGAAGTTGAGTTTACATCCAGCTCTTCTGCATTCGATTTGCCCACCCTTGCTTTAACCAGTGTCTCTAGCTAGTAACACTGTGGTATCCAGGCTGACGTCACCTAAGAGTGTCAGTTAACAGTGCAGGTGAGAGGTCCAAGGTAGAGTCACATTGCCTAATTCACCTAATGGGCTTATGTTGTAAAGGGTGGAAGAGTGGTTTTGTGAGGTAACCTGAATGTAATCAGGTATATATGAGTAATACTTTGTGCCTTAGCCTTTTGCTTGTTTGGGATTTTTTTGGTGGGGTGTATGTGAGCACTTACATTGTTGGAAGGTGTTTGTTTGAACTATGAAGAGTTACTAACAGTCCTTTTTTTCTAGGAGGAAGAATCTCACAATACGCCAACAGTCAACACTCTTCTTGACACCAGCCATCTAGAAACAGACATCTGGTCTGCAATGCCAATGCTTTCCAATGGGAATTCTGAGCCCAGAAGACCCAAAATAACATTTGATGATGTGTAAGTATTATTGGATCTCTGGGATAGCCGCATGTTATCTAGTTGGGATTTTCATGCAAGCAGATCTCCCAATGAAAGAGAGTATCTTTGATTATAATGCTAGCACTGGGCACCTGTGTGGATAGTGCTGCACAAAGGCACACACAGTTTTAATCTTTACAAATGAACTGTTGTCACTGATTAATGAAGACTCTGTTGATAAATGTTTTCAGATCATGAATGTTGGTTCACGGTAATTCTTCTTCATTTTTTTTTATTTTAGCTCCTCTAATGGAAACTTCTTATGCTTAATTAGTTTAAAAAATTTTTCATTTTCCTCTGTTCAGCACACATTAATGGGTCTTTCGGGTGGCCAATTTCTACAGCTAGTTATTTTACATTCTAGTCACCCATCATATCTTTGCATACAGCAGCTTCAGATTAATATCAGGTTAAGATTTAAAGAGATAAGTGGGCGTATATGTCAAAATTGTTCTTGGAAGCAGTCAACAATTTTCTCAAACAATATTTGTCCAACTGTATGAAAACAAAGACTTGAAATAATTGATTTTGTCTCTTTAGGCTTCACAATGCGGATTATTACATGCAAGAGGCTAAGAAGCTAAAGCATAAAGCAGATGCATTGGTAGGTTATCATGGGGTGTGGGGGGTGTCTCTTTCCGCTATGGAGCTGGGTGTTACAAAAATGTACATTCTAAATGTCATCCAAAGCCTCAGAAACCAAGAGGAACCTTCCTATTGACTAAAGTATGCTTCAGATTCTACTCCATGAACACACTGTCCACAGCAAGTCAAACCCTGAGCACCATTCCTAGCCTTTAACAATTCGTTCCCAAAAAAAGAAGTTTCTCACAATAGCTGGTATCTCTTCTGAGGAAGAGCAATGGTTGTGATGTTTACAAAGGATGTAAGATAATTTCATGAAAGATGATGTGTATTTGAAATTGGTTTTCCTATTGAATTTGAGCCTAAAACAAAAGTTTTGAAATATTCCATAACAGAAAGTTAAGAAAGGCAAATCACCCTCAACCCCATTATCATGTGGTAAAACTGTTTGATATTTCCAATCCAATTGTTTAAAATTTGCAACAATTGACTTTTAAATAGTACATTCATTTTTATTGCATGCTTTTTAGGCTGGTAAATAAAGACTCAACAAGCTTCTTCCCAAAAAATCTTGCAATGAGGTAGTTCAATGCTGGGAAAGCTTTTTCTCTCATTTTGCCCCAGATTAAATTCCAGTAAGATTGACCTAATTTTGCAAAGTGATTTGATTTTGATAAAACTACTTAACCTGACATATTATACTCTATCATAGTTTGTTCAATCCAAGCTATTTGCTAGCACTGAAGTGCCTTTAATAGCCGTTTGCTTTGTAGGTAGGAACTTTGCTCCTGTATGCTACATAGAATGCAGAACAGCATCTCATTTAGGCAGGCTTAGTGGAATTGACTCCTCTATTTATTTAAACTAAGATGTCTAAAATGGAGTGTGGCCATTCACTTTGCCCCTTAAAATCACAGCTGAAAAAGAACTGGGTGATTTTTCACTTCCTGCTTCATTATATGTGGGGTTTTTGCATGCATATTATATCATTCCACATCAGAGATTTTGTGCTTGGAGATAAGTGTTTGTCCAAAGAAAAACCCCAAAACAATCCTATGCTATGTGTAATAAATAAATAAATGAATAAATAAATAAATAAAGGCTCTCCCTCTATGTCAGTGAGCTGAAGGAGAGTTGACATGTCAAGCTGACTGCTTCAGCTCTCCAGGCTGCCTTTTGACTCAGGGCACAGTGTTACCAAGTGTGTTTTCTGTGGGAGGCGCATTCAGGTTTTTGGCAACCTGCCGTGACTGTCAGTAAGTTAGCTGTCGTCCCTCCCGACCTGCCCATTTGCAGGAGATGGCCGGCACCGATTCCTGCAGCCCAACTCAGCAGAGCGTGTTCAGCCAGAGCCCTGACATTCACACACGGGAAAGGCTGGCAGAAGCAGATTGACAACACCTCCCACAGCTGATTGACCTTTAAAGAAAATACACATGGTTCTGGCACAGGGACGCCTGCTCCACGCTAGCAAATATTTACAGGCTCAGGCTCCTGATGGTCTCAACGTGCTATGTCAATCCACTTCCCTCCACAGCCTGATTCACTCAGAAAAGTGTTGACCTGTCTCCCAGCCTCTTACCTTTGACTATGCCTTGCGGAGTCAGGGGTGTTTCTCAAGCAGAACTAAGAGGAGCAGGCACAGCACATCACGCTGCTGCCTGCAGGCAGGCCTTGCCTGTCGCATGCATTTTGACACTCCGAGTGCTCTTACGGGAATGTGAGGCCATCCGCTACTATACAACTTGTTGGCAGACATAAATACCCATGAACAAAGTATCTGCTTTTTCTTTCCGCTATTTAGGCCTCAACTTTTTTTTTTTCCACCCAATACAGCTGCACACAAATTATCTCCATGTAACACATTTGCTGTGCAATCCCGTAGTGTTAGTTGTCCCATGGAAACAATTGCTTCTGGTTACTTGGTGATGACATGACAAAGCACACACGGCATTGAAAGATGTGTTGCAGCGGCTAGAAAGATAATGCATGTGACCTCAAAACGTGTCAGCAAATGTTAATGAGATTTGTGGCAATGCTGTTCCTGAGCTTGTACGGAAAATAGGTTTCTGGTGAAGGGCAGGCGTTTTGCGTCTTACGGGAGTGACTCCATGAAAACTTGTCCTTGTCTGGGGTGGCAGTAAGCAATCAACTAATTTGGATGGGCTGCTGCAGCGGCAACTGACTGTGCCGTATGGAGATCTTGGAGACCTCACTCTGTTCTCAGCTGAGCTGTGATGAGCTGGAGCAATTCCACCTACTCCACTAGAGTCAGCATGGAGCAAAGGGCAGGATCAGATCCCATTTCTGGCTCAAACTGTGTGTCTGTACTAAATCTGCTTGCAGCCTGATTCTTTTTTTTTTTAATACCACAAAACGTCATCTGTGGAAGACTCAAAGCAAGGCATTTGAAGAACATGCTGAGAAGTAGCCATTGGAATAGAGAGAAAACATTTAGAAATATTTCCCCTTTTGTGATCATTGAAGTAATACCTATCAATTATACAAAGGCTTTGCACATTATCAATGCGCAAGAGCAGAACTTGAAATTAAAGGTATGCAGAGGGAACTAGTTATAAGGATTGCTTAGAAGTAGCCACCAAGGCAAATACAGTGTTACCTTGGACCAATACAAAATGTTCTGCTTAATGTGTTGCTAGGATAGGCTTCTATTTTGTGAATGGAAAACATATGCAGATGCATCAAAAATATTTTGATAGAGACATACAAAGAAATTTTAAAATTATTTAAAGTATATTGGATCTCTTATATCAAATGCCACATTAGTAGAATTCTTACATCCAACTATCAAAGATTGAAAATGTTAAATACTATTATAAAATACTTACTATAAAAATGTCATATATAATATTCATTACACATAAAAAAAGAAATCAGTATGTCTAAGTCAGTTTAATCACAACCATTATGAGGGCTAAAACCTTTTGCAATAAAATCCTACTAAAATAAAATATTTAGCAGTGCTATATTTTTTCCTTTTTTTTTCCTGTTCTTTCAGTCACCATGTAAGTGATGACTTTTTTTTTGTCAACAGTTAAGACAGAATGTGATGTCTGACAAATGGCATAGAGTTATTACTTAACCCTTGCATAGTGACATTCAAACTTAGTTCATATATCGAGGAGCAATATGGATTTGTTCAAACATGCTTAGTGTCCCTCATTGCCCCTGTAAATCCATGCATGTCAACAGACATGCATTAACTTTCCTCTGTGGAGCGTCTGGCTATATAATACCTGAAAAGATTTGGTAAAAACATAGTCTGTGCCTTAATTACTGTATGAATTCATTCTTAACTACCTACCAGCGTCTCTTTGCTTTCATCCTAATGCTAGTGTTGCTTTGTATCGTGATCTGTCTACCTAGAAATTAAAGCTGATGGATTTTCTTGACGGTGTCATTCCCATTGCAGCTGGAGAAGTTTGGCAAAGCAGTGAATTATGCTGATGCTGCCCTCTCCTTCATCGAGTGTGGGAACGCTATGGAGCGAGATCCATTAGAAGCTAAATCTCCATACACCATGTACTCAGAGACTGTGGAACTCATCAGGTTAATGTCCTTTCTGTGATCATTTTCATAATCTCATTTCAGTCATAATTAGAACCTGCTATGTTTTAAAAAATACCATTTCAACGTATTAATGATTTGTCCAAGGCATCTTCATCTCAGAAGTCATCATAATTAGTTCTTGCCATTTTATTAATGTCATGGAAAATTTATAATTGATGGACACTGCTTTTATAAATTATCCCCTTTAGAGGTTATAATGTGAGTGTTATAATTTGCAATATTCATAAAATTAAAATTGAAATGTAGTGGGTGGAAGTAAAGTATAGTAATTTCACTGTTTGGCAATGACACTTGTCTTTTAAAAGGTGTAGTTTTATAATTCAAAACATTAAAGTGAGTCTATCAGGATTTCTATTACAAACCCTGTTTTCAGAGGTTTATAACTTGGCTGGTAAGAAAAAAAAAGCTGAAACTTGGCACATCAGATCATAGCCAGAGGAAGCTTTCCACATATATTGTATTTAAAAAGTATATTTTTTACTGTTAAAGGAATGTGAACCAGCTGAATTAGTTTTAATACAGTTTTTAGACTCGTAGGCTAGAGTCTACAAAGGCTATGGATGAGAGAGCCTTTACTTACTCATAAAATGTCTGAATTATTATTTTAAAATCTGCTGCTGTTCCCTATAGCTGTTTCATACTGTTGGCTCTGTAGAAATAATGGTCTCCTAAGTAACTAAGGGCTTGTTTGCTTTACTTGCGCAAATTATCAGAGTGAAATCAAGCAGGATTAAATTTACCTGTAAGTAGAACAACAGGATTTTTCCTCTTCACTGTGATGCACCTTTGCTTTCCCCGGTGAATGCTGGGAGTATCAACATTAATGTCAGTGTAATTACTGGCAGTTTACACCGGAGAAAGAAAAGGAGGCAAATCAGGCCCTAAAAGTTTGGAGTTTAATATGATAAAGGTGTCTTTTTAACATGCAGGATTTTAACATGCCAGATTAGCTATTAGGGACTGCCAAAAATAATGCATGTTGTACATTTTTAGTAAGTAGGTATTTACATAATAAAATGTATCAAATCTTAAGAAGCTCTTACTCTAGGTAAATAATATGCCTGTTAAATATTTAAAAACATGTTTTTACATTCTACACTTCATAAAGAGAAGAAAATCTAAAGAGATTACTCAACAAAAAAATTATGTTCCCTCAACACTTACGTTCCAAGTTAAACCCTCAAGAGCAGAGGACATAAGAAAAGGAGCTGCCTGCCTCTGCTCCGCTGTGCTGAAACTCTTCCCACACTCTGACAGTGGACAGTTCAGCTCTTTGTGTCCTAAAGTACACAAGTGCAGTTGTATGGTAGGATTAATTGTATTTCAAGAAATATTCTTTAAAGAAGTGAAAAGCCCACATTTATTTTTTATTTTTTAAGAAAACCACACAGCACAGTTGAAAATGTCCCTTAGTACAGCAGTCTGTCTGTTGTGGAGCAGGTGGACCAAAAATCTGTGTTCATTCAAGAGCCACAACATGTGCACCACTTAATTCAGAGAACGGCAACTCTAGGAGTAGCTCACAATTGGGTGATACCTGCAGCTCTCCTCAGGGTACGGCTGCAGCTGGGAGCAACTGGCAATCGTCAGCGTGCGCAGCCCCGCTGCTGTGCTCTTCCCAGCAGTTCCTGTGTCAGCACAGTCCTGCTGCAGGCTACGTGATAGACAGACCTTGGTATGGAAGCAGCACCTGAACTGCTTTTGGATCACTTTTTGAACTGCTTTTGACTATGGAAAAACCTGGAGGCCTTTGTTGTAGCAGATTGCCAGTTTCTAAATAGCTACAGTCAAGTGAGATTAATTCCACCACCTACCATCAAAGGTAGAGCTTGATTTACCAACTCTTGCATGCAGCATCTTCTAGGCAGCCAGTGAGAGACTAGTTTGCCCATTTAATTGCTGTCAGTGGTCAGATATGGAAAAAAGGTGATTTCCCAGGTGAGCAGCAGTCTGGTACAGGTTCAATAAACTCCATGGACAAATACACAATTCTTGTGGGCTACAGTGGGCGCCGAATGTACAAACCAAGTATGCGGCTGTGCACATGCACTTTCTCAATATGGTTCTAATGTTAACATAGATTTTAACTGTGAGGTAAGAAATAGAAGGATGTGTTTCTCACTTTCACTCCTCCCTTTATCAGAGGCACGGTTTTCCCCTTTTGCATTAGCTATGTCTGCCCTGAGTATCTGCATCAGACACCTATTTGTGAAAGCAAGTGGAGCATCAAAGAGATTGGAAATACCAGATCTGACTGTCAAAGGTGTTTTAAGTTAATGGTAATGTTGAAAATCCCAAAAAGACTCATATCTTCATGTTTGATCAGATTCATTCAGTATGACTGGAACAATACCAAAGAGCAGGTGAGATAGGACATGGAGGAAGCACATCAGGTGGTGTGCTACAGCTGCAAGCTGGGGGCTGATGATGGGGGTGGTGGGAGGAAGGCAGAGTGAGAACAGCACTGCCTGCCTGCACTCTATTACCTCCTTGTAAATGAGAACTCATCAAGACTGCCCGGATACCTTGAAACTTTCTTACGCAACGCTGAACCCTATTACTTATTCTAACACAAGTACCTGTGAAATTGCATTAGGGCTCAGAACAATGATTTTATGCGATGAATTGATTTTCAAGAGACTAAATGCATGGAATGGAGTGTACTCAGTTAAAGGAGAAAAAAAAAGAGAGAGGAGGTAGGAATATTCAATCTTTGATCATCCAAATGCTGGACAGCAGCAATTAAATAGAGAGGGAAGACCAAGTACACAAGACTCATAAATTAATGGACCCAAGAATTTAAAAAGCTGTGAACATGACCTTTCCTGTATTTAAAACCATTTTCAATATAAAATATATTAAAAGCTTTGAAGAAGCATTTATGAGAAAGATTTTGAAGGTATTATTCAAGCCCAAAGTATTATATGTAAAATCTTCTTATATATTACTCTTCAGTACATATAGAGACAAGATCTTACACTTCTGTCCCACACTCATCACAAATGTTTGCAGGACTCAGCCTAGATGGCTGGATGTAATATCATTAATATGCCCAAGAATAGTTCACCTAGTTGGCCTAGAAAATGGGTTGGTGATTTACTTTAGGCCGCCAGATTTTAAGTGGTGCTTTCTGTTGAATTTTATATTGATCTCATCGTTACAGAACAATGTGACCATTAACTATTGCAGTCAGAGAAGAATATCTATGTGTGGCCATTATTTTTCAGAATGTCACTAGTATTCCTGGAAACATCTTAACTCTCAATTTCTTCTCTCCTCACCTTTCTGACAAGGTATGCAATGAGACTCAAGAATTTCACAGGCTCTTCTGCCACAGAAGGGGACAAGAAATTAGCAGTTTTATGGTAAGTCCTGTTGCAACAATGAGAGAAGCAGCTAACATCTTAAGGAGGACTTTAAAAGTACTGAATTACTTAAGCAGCTTACAGAAGATCATTATTCTTGTTTTCCATTAAACTATTAAAGGATAACTAATGGATTTCTTCAGCAGCTGACTAAACATTTATTCTTCTGATTTATACTCTTATCAAGATGGGATTTTAATGCTTTTGACCATGTTTTTTTCTTTCTCCATTTGCTTATGTTTCAAAATCTAACCTTAGAACAGAAACTGCAAAATATAGGTCAGCATTTATTTTTTTTACAGTTTATAGGTTTCATTAAGCAATGGAATTAACATAATCCTTTCCTAATTACCACAGCTACCGATGCTTATCGCTTCTCTACTTGAGAATGTTTAAACTAAAGAAGGACCATGCTATGAAGTACTCCAGATCTCTGATGGAATATTTTAAGGTAATCTTCATTCTGTTTAATTTATTGACATGAAATGAAATTCATACCAGCGCTGAGAGGTCTCACAAGTATAACTGCGTGACTTAAAAGTCCCACATTTAACCCCTCCTCTGGGAAATGCAGGCAGGGTGGCTGCCAGGGAGTGGGGACAGAAGTGATTTGGGGGATTTTTTGGATTAGTCACTTGATTCAAAGGACCATACTTAGTAATTCTACTAAAATAACATTATTCTCAACACCATGTAATGTTTATGCGAGTTTCTGTAAAGGAAACTGATTCTTTCAAGATTTCAATGTGCAAGTGATTATGAACTGACCCCCAATGAACCATAATAAAGCAATTATTTAGGCTTTAGTTAGTTAAATTTAGATTTTAAATTCAGTGAGATTTGCTGAAGCTTATTGCAGACTCAGAGATTTCTCCTTTTATTTCTGTGGAACTTCAAATTGCCTTATCTACATCTCGAAAGTTTGCCTTTACCTTGAATCAAGTGGAGATCAGCTGACTGTCATGACCTGGTGTTTTCCTTTACCTCGTCTAATGCTGTTTACCCAGTGTAAGAATGAGTAGTCCTCACCATTCCTAAATTTAGAGATAAACAGAATCTTTCTTCAGTTCTGCCAAGGTTTTGATATTTATATTTTACTGTTTATTGCTGTTTGAAGCATACATTAATTCTTGTATTTTATTACTCTATAATTATGTAATTATACTGGTTTGTCAGCCCATCAGTCTTTTTTTGTTGGCTTTTTCAGCCTCTCTGAATTTGTTCCAGGCTTTGACATATTAGTACTACAAACCAGTAAAACTTTTAACACTGCAGTTTTAATATTTTCATGTAAATGGTGATAAAATGGTCCTTCTGCTGTAAAAATCCAGTACTACTATGCTAGCAACGACTGCTTAGTCCTGACTTCCCTGGTGCCCTCTGTGTGTGTGTATCTCTGTAACTTCAGTAATGTTACTCCTATCTCTGCTTAAATTGAGGCTCTCTTGAAGTCATTAGGAGTATCTGTGTTGTACACGCAGAGCTTTCAGTCAGGGATTTGCACAACAAATTAAATTTGAACTAGACACATTTATAGCCTTAGCATTTTCATGAAGTGTATTCCATCCACTTCAGGTTTATGCAGGATGAGTAGATTGTCACTTTAAAAAGGTTATTGACAAATCATTTGATAAACTTTTTCTGCAGAAAATAATGATTTCTTAAAATAAAGGGGGGGGGGTGTCTCCCCTTAAAGCCATTTTACTTTCTCTGCTGTGCAAATCGGTACAGTGAATAACATATTACTACTCCCAGCATAAGACCATTTTACTGCATCCACACATAGAAAATGTCTTGCAATGTAAATGAAAATAAGAGAAAAAAATTTAAGACATAATAAATTAGGCAAATGAGGGATGCTGGTTTCAGGCATCCAGTTGAAGCTGAGTATTTCAGCTAATGTTAGTGTGTGTATGCTACGGGCACTGTAACTCATTTGCTGGAAGTAGTGTTTGAGTGTATACAGATTATATGTTCAGGATCTTTTTGTAGTAAAGGCATGGGAGGAGAAAAGAACTGGAGCTATTAACTAGGTATTAGTTTTGTATTGCTGCACAGTGTTCTTTGTGTTGACTAGCAAGAATCTGTAATACAAATGAAATAGATTAACTATTTGAATAGAGTTGTTATTCAAAATTTTGCACAATTTTAACTGTGAAAAGCAGCCCACTGTTTACAGCAGAACTGGAGAGGAATTTTTTGGCAGAATTCTTTTTCATCTTGTTCCTCACAAGTGCCGCTTTGCCTAAATTGAAACCATTTGTGGACAGAACTGGTTCTGATTAATTTCCAATTAAAAGTTTCAGATTTATATTTTTGACATCTCAAAACAGAAAATAAACATTTAATCATAAAAGTAGTTTTAAGGTTTAGAGACAACTTGGAGTAAAATATAACTAAAATGATAAATTTTTAAAATATAAATAAAACTTTTTAAGATTAGCAGAAGTGTCATCGTTTGATGCATTTCACATAAAAGTTTGAGGAAGATTATTATGTTTTTGAAAATATGTTGTCAATAGTCATTGGCAAAAATATTTAAAATACTTTCCTTGTCAAATAACTACCTGCAATCAAGATCTAGGCTTAATCCTGACAGATCTAGTATTTGTCTGCAGATACTGTCAGGAACAATCCCCAGACAGTAGAAGCTAACATCAAAACTTCTTCATCCCTGCTTCTTCATCTCTGAAGACTTTCTAGAGGAGTTTAGGATCTGCCTCCTTCTTACGTATGAGTGGGTGGCAAAAATATACACTACATATGCTCTGCACTGCAAAACACTCCATTTCATGCTCACATCTTTAATGAAACACAGTGGCATACTGTGTAGGAACATACAGGCAAGGTTGGTATCATGGTTTGGGCAGCGTTTTCTGCTTTGGTCAACACTGTTTGGCAAATTTAGCTGTGTTTTAGAAGTCAAGTTGCTCCCAGAGTGAGCTGGTGACCTTGGGCCATGCCCTGGCCTGCTCTGTGCTCGCTGAATCTCTGTGCCTCACATGCAAAATAGTGATTAGAGCAACCAGATGAATCTTGTAATAATGATGGTAATTCTTTTTGCAGAGAACTTGTAAAATTTGATTGAATTTTCACTGTGTGTGCTGACTTCTTTGCAAGGGAGCTCAAAGTGATTGTTTTCAGAAAGCACACATAGATAGCCTCATCCCTGATACTACAGCTTTTTATGGGAACTAAGTAAGATACCACCTAGTTTGAGCAAGACTGGAAAAATCTGGGCTTTATTGTTGCTGGGCAATCTTTTTGTACAGGGTTGTACAAGGTGCTACACAGACGTGAAAGGCAGGATGAGTAAGCAGGTAAGGAAAGTCCATTTGTGCAAATAAAATACATAAAAACAAGGACATTCAAGCAGATCCTTACTAGAAGTTTAATTTCTACTAGATTCTATCTGAATCCCAAGCCACCTTCCCTTGCAACTTGTGAGGGATTAATTTCATTAAGACATCAACCCAAATTCTTTTTGTTTCTTATTGAAAGATTGCAGGTCCCCCTAAAGATAAGAAGTTATTTGCACTCTGAAGAACCTTGTAGGATAAGTTTCAGTGGTAATTAAACCACTTCTTTGTGAACTACATCTGCTTTTACTGGAACTTTACTGTATTCCCTCTTTCATCAAGTGAATTTCAAGCCACTGGTTGGAACCTACCTATCATCCACCAGACATTTAATTATGGAACTAATGTGCGGAGCTGTTCTCCTACATGCACTGTAGCTCTTGCAATGAAAACAGGGAGTGTTGAGCCTTGTGTCATCAGTATTCATGTACTTGCGTCACCTTTATTTACATTTTGGTTTTGTACTTACAGAACTCTTCAAAAGCCTCACAGGCCCCCTCACCTTGGGGCGGCAATGGAAAGTGAGTATTTTCTGCTGAGTACTTCTGTCTGGGAACAAGTGGTTCCAAGGCGGTGGGGGGGAATGTTTTGATGCCTCTAAAGGCAAAGGACAAGGCCATGACTCGGTGGTTTGGGAGCTACAGGTATGTTTCAAACATGTAGCAGGTAGAAAATGTTCTTCTGGGCTACAGAATTGATCTTACAAGCCTTGGGCTTGTGGGGGTGAGGGACACCCACTGAGCTAAATCAGGTACCCATGGGAGCCATCCAGTGTGGGAGGGAAGGAAGAGCTCAAACACACCTTCATCTTTGTGCAAGGCCCCTTTAAATCTAAAATCAGCTGTGGTGGGTCTGTGCTGAATTCTTTGACAGTTTGCTTCTCAAGCCAAATGAAGGCCATAAAAATACCTGTTAATTAGCTAGCAAGTACCATGTCATTTCAGGAAGCCAAAGTAAAGTTAACCTTCATCGCAATGATTTTTCAATGATTCGTTCAGTAATGAAAGACCAATGAATATTTCATTGATATATGGTAAGTGCTGTTTAATAAAACTGAAGGCGTAATAGTGGTGAAAATGTGCAAGCACTTAGTCAGCCAATTATCAGTGGCTTTATACTGAGGTTAAAACACCCTCACCTCAGATACGAAGTCAGGGTAAAGCAGTTATGATCTGCTGTTCAGCGAAGGTGCCTTGCTGCTGCAACCTTGCCTTTATCTTGCAATGTCTATTGCCACCTGACACACATTTCTCCTGCTCCTTTCTCCTGGCCGCGCATATAGATACAGATAAAACAAAGGAGAAGGACTTCACCTTTCTTTCCTTCTTTATTTCAGTACGCTGAATTCTACATGGAAGTGATTATTGTTAACGGTCGCTTTCTGGTGGTTCATAAAGACAAATGATGAGATGCTTTTAAGGAAACAAAGTAATAAAACTGTAGAAGGGGTTGAAGTTTAGCACACAAAGAATTGAAATTTTCAAACAGACTTCATTCTGAATCAGTGCAAAGCCAAAAATTCTAACATTTTGCTTACAGGTAAATGGCGAATTAGATAATTCAGAATATTTTGGGGTGTATATATATACACACATGCCAAATAAATACACAAAATTATTTTGAATGTGTGTGTGTATATTTAAGTATAGATTATAACACAAACTAAAATTATTAAATATAAAACTACTTTAAATAAAAACCTAAAGGATATTTTAACATTGGAAAAGCAACTACTAAATTAAATTATTCAATATGTGCCAGTTTTTCAAGGTATTTAAATGTCAGTGAAAACTTATATTGCAATAAGAAATTACAGTAAGGTTTGCATAAAGTTTTAGTGCCGGAATAGACCACTGGAGCATTACACCTCTTTGTTCCTTAAGAAGTGGCGTATACCTAAAAATTTCATGGAGCAGAAGTTGTCCTTTTATTCCTGTCCTATAATAGAGCCCTGCAGGCGATGACATCTCCCTTGCTATTTAAAGCAGCTGATTAGGCGCCCAGGATTTAGCATCAGTGGGTTTTGACTGGAGCAGAAAATTCTTGTCCAGTCACAAGGTAGGCAGCAGAAACCCAGCGTTCGGGTCAGCGTCACTTCTAACATGACACCCAGCTGATCAGTCCCTTCCCACTAACTTTGGAGATAAGGAAGTAAAGCTTTGAAAGTGCACATCTCTCTTATTCAGAGAAGGAAGCACTTGACGTCTGAGGGTAACTGAATACAGCAAGGCCTTGTTATAACAGTGCTATTATGACACCAGTGACTCAACACACAAAGACCACAGTCCACACTTGGGTATTCTGTCACCTCTGTCTGGTGTCTCAGTAGAAAAGCTCTTAAGCTGGCTCAGAGTTGCTGTATATCTCAGGTGTCTCCTGGTGGCCCTGTCTCACGGGCCTGGTGCTGCCACTGGCAGCACATGCTCTGCCTTCCCCCGGGCTACTCGCTCTACAGTTTCCCCTTATTCCCCTGCAAATTTGTACCAGATAGGAAGAGAAGTCGCTCACCACAGAGGAGAGACCAAACACCATCAGGGTATGGCACCACTGGAGATGGATCAGCAGGCTGGTTCAGAATGGGGAGACAGCAGGGTATTAAATCTTTTTTTGAACAAAGCAAAACTTATCCATTGCCATGAAGTGTAACCTGCTCGGGATCTCAAACCATCAAAAATCTCAGCTTGGCTTACTGGAATTTCTGGCCACTTTTGTCTGAAAGGGTTGTGAACCTCTACAAGGTTGGCCTGAGTTCCAGGCTGGCAATGAAACAAATTTTTCCTGGTTTCATTACAGAAATGTTTCCCACCTCTAGCGACAGAAAGCACAAAATAGAGAGATTTAATAGACTCACCACAGTAATAATGGCTGTGCACAACAGGGAAAATCCAATGAACAATGTGCTTTATTTGGCAGAAGTGCGTCAGCTTGTTGTAAGTGGCTCTAACAAAATACTCCTGGTCTCCTCAGATACTTGTGATTTTTAACTGCTCCCAGACCTAACGTAGTATAGTTCAGCTCTTCTGTGCATTAAAGACACTGTGGTGTGTCAAGTAACCAGTATGTTTTGAGACTTAAAAATAAAACGTTTGTGCCGTAGGATATGCTCAGACTATAACACATAAGCTGTGTAAAAAGCTACTAGCGGCTGAATTAATGTGGTCTCTAGCTCTGAAAAAAAGAATGTATCGCAGGAGCCTCTTGTTGAGCACTGCTGGGAAATCTGCAACAAAAGCTGTTGCCATAAATGCCTTTCACCCCAAGGCAGTGCTGTGGTGGCCATCTGTCCTCCAGCACCTGCAGGTCTGGGCCCACGTTTCATGTTCAGGACCATTGATGGTGGCTTGTAAAGCCAAGAGGAGGAGCCTTTCTGTCCTGGAGTTTGGGTCAGGCCCATAATGGGTCTAAGTGAGCTCGATGCTGTTGCACAGGATGAGGCATCAGTGGCCATCCAAGAGAGGGGATGCAACACCCCTGTCCGGGGAGTTTTGGTGTCTTTGCTTCACACAGAGAGCACCGAGAGCGTCTCAGCCCTGCGTTTCAAGTGTATTCCACAGCAAATAGAATGCATTTGTTTATGTGAGTGGTTCCACATGGGGGCAAGAGAAGAGATTTGTGGAACCCTTAACCTTGTTCACTGAAACAGATTTTCAAAGAGAATGGCTACAGGTGAGCGTTCAGCGCTGCACAGCTCTAAACATGAGCTTGCTGTGCTGACCTCCACACTGCCTGCAGCCAGCAGGCGATTCCTAATTGCTGGTGTTAGAATTAAAAGAAAATCTATATTAGAACATTAGTGCTGCACTAAGTAGGTAACTTAAAACGCTGCTCTGTACAAAACTGTGGATGAACTGTAGGCAATTAGAAACAAATCTCCATAGCCAGTCTTAAAGAATCCTATAGAGATATTCATAATCCTACGGTACCCTCAGCTCCTAATACTGCTCTGCAGGGTGCTTTTAAGACTTGCACTTTACTTATTGTGGTGACTGTATTTGGAGCAAACTGTCATTGTGGTTTCCACAAAATGCTTTGATAATAAGCCAATATTGCACATTGAGTGTTTTCTAACTGCCATTGCAGTTTCTGGCAGCAGGTAGAAAGATCGTTACAGCTATGAGATACTTCTTTCTCTGAAAGATTGCTCTATTTTTATGATAGATTTTTTTTTTAAATAACAGATTCATTTGTAGGGAGAATTAAATCCCTTTTTATTTTCAGTCATTCCCAGTTTATAAGCTCTCCTTTCTCATCAAACCAGGAGATACTACTGCACATTATCCCCTGACTGGGGTGCAGAGTTAATTTTTCAAGTGCATTTAGGATGGCAAAGAAGTGACGTGTGCGAAGTGGACTCACTCTCCCTTTACCTCTTGCAGGAGCACAGAAACACCATCGCCCATGTCCCTGAGCCCGTCCCCTGTCAGCTCTGCTGGAAGCAGCACAGGCACCACCAGCTCCTCCTTGGCAGGGACCATCACCATTCCTCAGCGCATCCACCACATGGCTGCCAGCCACGTCAACATCACCAACAACGTCCTGCGGAGCTATGAGCACTGGGACATGGCTGACAAGCTGACTAAAGAGAACAAAGGTGCCCTGCTCGGCTTCTTCCTTGTCCCCTTTGGCTCATCGGCTTTAGTTTTCTTTCTGTTCTCTTAGGTGTTGTGGGGAATTGGACCCAGGACCACCACATCTAAGAGCACAACTGTGACAACTTGAGCACAGACCAAATCTGCTTGCTGGTCACTGTAGCCAATGCGTATCTTCTCCTGTCAAGCACAGAGGGGGGATGCGTAACACACGCTGAACATGGGGTTATCAGAGCAGCTGGCAAATAATTTAGCAAACATGAGCCCCGAGTCATGAGAGCTTTTGAGTCTACAAATTTGTTCACAGTTTCAGCTTCCCATAAAGCACCAAGGTTATTTTCATACCGCTCTGTCAACCAGTTTAAGACTATTAAAATGCTAGCTAGCATAATAAGCAAACATTAGATTTTATGTTTATGCAGGGAGTCTGATTAGGAGATGTCCACTGAAAGCCACGACCTTGACTGTCCTATGGTTGGATTGCAAATCTGCTTGTTTATTCCTAACAACAACATGTAAGTCTTTACCACAGTTGTTTCAAAAGACTTTTGGCAAGCAGTTTGTGACAGGGTTATATCGAGTATAGTGGAGTGGCTGAGATGTAACTAAAGGACAAATTTGGCCTATTGTTGGCCAGCTGTGAACTTCCCCATGATAATGTAATAATTCATATTCTAGCTTTGGGCTTACACAAATCATTGACAAAGCTTTCTTTGATACTAGAAGTGCAGACCCTAACTGGGAAATATTCTCATCATGAATTGGCTCATTCTCTTAAATTATACTGAGATTTCAGATGGCTGACTTTTCCTGACAAATGTTCTCGCTGTATGCAGTTTGATCTTACTCCCATTAATGTCAGTGGCAAATTTCCACTGATTTAGAGAAACTAAGCTTGAGATTTATAGAGTTTTATGTCCGAATGGTGGGTCATAATGATCTATCCCTGGATGAGGAACAATAATAGAAGTTCTGTCCAGTCCTCCCCACTGCTTCTTGTCTTTGTTCGCGTTGGTTAATTTAGTAGCAGTGCAGTCATTTTGGATTTTTTCCATAGCTGCATTCATTTTCACAAAATGTGAAAGTGATTCCCTGTCAAATGTACTGCAGAATGTTACAGTGGGAATGCAGAAGGATGCTCTGATAGGAGAAAGAGATGACGATAATCTTGTAATTAGCTCTGTGTGTTGTAGAGTTGTTAAATGTTCTACTTGGTATTGAATCAAAATAGCTCAGGCATTCAGCCAGCAGACAGAAAATGTACCCAGCCACTGCTGTTATCAGTCCTAGAGCTGGATGAGAAAAAACCTGCTGACTCTCTTTCTGCATTTTTCCCCCTACACTCTTCTTTGTTCTCTTTTTGATTTACGATCAAATAAACCCAATTCTGCAAAGCCATATAGGAATAATCTTTATTCAGATGAGCAGTCCCTTTGACTTCAGTGGGACTGGATGCATGAATAAGGGTTTCTCACATGAGCAAGACATCTAGGGTTGTGCCCTGTTCTTTCATATCTTGTTTCACAAACTGCAGCCATGTTCCAGGGAATGGAAAATTTGTGTTACTTCAAATTTCATTTAAGTACTATAAACCATTGGAGAGAGTTCAGAGTTTCATACATGCTATAGCATGTCTGTCTTCACATTTTGCCTGGAAAGATACCTCATTTCTAATTAAATACTCAATTTAAAATTGCATGCTTAGACACAATTAAACTGCAATTTGAAAAATTAATGGTGTAACAAAAAGTATATAAGAACTGCTGTGGTACTCTGCAAGTCTTCATCATATCACATAGTGGATTCCATTTACAGAAGGATGTATTTTAAGACATTTTGACATGAGAAATGTTGCTGTGTTTCATGAAACCTAGCTGTAATTATATTTGTAGGAGTCATCTGTACCTCTCAATTCAAAATACCTATATCTTGCTGGCTGGGACAGGACTTATCCTTTTCCCTGTCTATCTCTAATCCACCTTTGCCAGCTGGACCAGCCATTGCAGTGTCCAAGCTCTGACACGCTGGCATGTGGACTGTGAGTTCAAAAATGCCCCATGAGAGCAAACAGGATAGGTCCAAACCCCAGATTCTGCTTTGAGTACCAGGCAAAGCACAGATCTCTTAGCTTCTCTCTCAGGGGTTTGGACAGTCAGTTCACCATAAAAAATTAGATTTTTTTTTTTCCCCCTTGAAATAAAAATGGTCTCAAAAAACAAGCAAACAAACACAAACCCACAAAGAAACCCATGTTTGAGATAAAAATGAATTTTCTTTAAAAAAAAAACCCAATCCAGTAACTTTTTTTTTTTTTTGTGGTCAGCTCTTATTGTTTCTGTTGTCTTCTGAATCACAGGGGGTGTCTTGCCCAAGAACATGTCCCTGATGAGCTAATAGAGATGGGTATAAAAATGTGGCCCCATTGTTGTAATGTCTAATAGCCTTCACATCTGGGTCTTACTGCTGTCATAGATGTTTCTTAGGTCATGCCCATGCAGACACAAGAGATTTCTTCCACGTTGTAGGAGCCTCCCCTTGTCCATAGCTGACAGCTTAGGTTTTGTGCTCCTCTAAGGATGCTTTCACACTCCTGATTTGGACTTGACTCATGTCCAGCTGGCTCAGAGCAGGAGACAGAAGCCTTTCTTGTCAGCCTGACAAAAGATGTGCCATTAAAATAAAAAGGCGTACCAAGAGGGAGAACAGCAGAACTGTGACCCGCCAAGCTGATCTGGTTTGAAAAGGAAAGCGGGAGCATGCTGCTGTGTACCTCTGCTTGAATTTCCCCTGCTCAGTAACGTTTAGCGTGGAGGGGAGAATAGATGGAGTTTGTCATAAACTCTGCATCTGTAGCAGGCCAGGCTAAACTGCAGACTTTGCAAAGCCAACCCATGGACTGGTTTGTGTTGGATCACCTAGAGAGTTGCTCACCATTTATAACATCCAACTCTCGGCTGACTTTATAAAATCAGATTTTTTTTTAAGCTTCCAAAGATAGCAGCACTTTTTCTCTACAGTAGAAAACTATCATCAGCTCTGTAGTGACAAAGGGCTGTTTTTCATATATAAATTTAATAAGTGGCTTCAGTGCTTGTAGCTTTTTCAAGAGATGTTAAACTGAAACTGGGCTTTAAGGTGAATTCTCAGTATTTAAAGCAATTATTATTTATTTGAGCCTAGAATGCAAGCAAGACAATGCATTATTTCACTTCCAAATGTATTGATTTTACATTGGAAGAGGGGAACAAAAGACAGAGGAAGGAAGATTAAAAGTAACTGCTGGCTGCAGCATCTTAACACAACTGGTGATAGCCCTAAGCTTTCATTATGCTTGCCTCCAGCCAAATCACTTTGTGCTGTGATACTGCTGTAGCTCCCAAGCTGACCAGGGTCAGGCTGTCAATACTTGTATAGAAGACCTCAAAGCAGCACTTACTTGCTGAAGAAAGTACTGATAATGATTTTGTACCCGGCATCTGCCCTCCCGAACCACAGCCAATACAGTGTTAGCTGGCTGAGTGCCGAGCGCTGGATTTCAGATAGGGTGAGAATGTAAGGGCTCAGCCACTGGTTATTGTGATTGTTGGTTGTTATCTGAGCTCTGAGGGGCTTTTAACTGAGAGGGGGCTCCCACTCGCCTTAGTGTAAGTAAGTGGTGTGTGTGTGGGAAAGCCCGCGCTCCTGTGAGCAGAGAGACAAGCTGTGGGAGAATAGAGGACACAATCCAGTTCTCCACTAAAAGCAATTAGGAAAGGTCTGTTGGCCCTAACAGGATTAGTCTTTCACCCAGAGAGCATCTAACACATGGCATAAACTGGTGTGTCACTTCCTAACTATGGCTCTCTGTTTAGTGACCTCCTGTTAACTTCCCAACACCCGATCCCAGTGGCCTTACCCATCTTTTCTTTCCCCTTATAAGTTCCCGTCTCCTAGATGCTATTTTCCTGCTGCGTTCCCTCTCTCCTCTTCCTTCTCTCTCCCGCTCCACACACATCCTCTGGGGCCTGCAGCTGCAGCAGGATGAGCAGAGGGCCAAAACTGCTGCAATGGCAGTAACAGAAATTGGAGGGTGGGGAAAAGAGCAAGCAAGGACTTCTGCAAGCTCTTCATGCCCAGGAGAGGGTACAGCATGGAAAAGGATGCCACAATTCACTGCAGCTTAAATCATGCAGTCAGCAAACCTGGGGTCAAAAAACTGAAAGTGCAGATCATCAGAGCTAACGGAAAACTGTTGGCAACAACTCATACCACATTGTGGTTGACTCCCAGCATACATAATTTAATTTGGGCTGTTTAAATACATTGTTGCCTTTGTTTAAATTCTTTCCTACTGGCCATGTGCTCAGGTACACAATGTCTTAAGACCTCACTAATTGCACTGCTGCTACTGGGTGGGAAATCATGGCAATACATGTATTTCTGTACCATTACCTGAAACAATGACTTCAGTTTTTTTGTGTATTGCAGAATTCTTTGTAGACCTGGACTCAGTGATGGGACCCTTAACACAACACAGCAGCATGACCAATCTGGTTCGTTATGTTCGCCAAGGACTCCACTGGCTCCGCATTGAGGCTCATTTGTTGTAGTGACTGCTGCCCTGTTCATAACATCCCCATTCTTCTACCTCTACCAGCGCAGAGACGATCACTGGTGGAACTCCACTCATTTCTGGAAGTTTATTCATGTAACTTCATTTTTATTGCCTTTTTTAATATCCTATCTATTGGAAGTAGAAGTCACCATAAATGGAACTTATGACTCAAGAGCAGTATGTGTTGTACCATCTAATAATTTTCAACAATTTTCTATGCCTTGTGTCTCCTGGATCCTGCCATCCTTATGTGCTTTATGGAACGGTACATTCCCTGCAGTATTGTTTTAAGTCCATGCTGCCTTCAAGTGAAAACAAAAAAGCACTTTGAGAAGATATGGATTCCTGAGAAATAGTACAAAGCGTCTTAAATATTTGAGGGTATATATGAGAAGTCCCTTCTGAAATAAATTAGTAGAAGTTATAGCTATTCATTCAAAATCATCTTCTGAACCTGAACCAAGCTTTTCGATGCTTAATTCTGGCATCATTGTGTGACACAGTACATTCCTAAGATTTCATACTTCCTATAGGCTTAATCTCTAAAGGAGAACATTGAATATCTTACAGGTATATAATGTAAGATCACCAAAGGTGTTAAGAGGTAAAAGGTTGAAGGAATGCCTCATTAAAGAACGATGACGCACTATGCAATGAGGTTTTGATATTCCATTCTTCCTGTTTATTGTTGGCTTAATAATTTCAGTAGGCAGCAGAATTTATTGCAGTTTTTAGGCAATTTCAAAATACTAGCTTTCATAGTCTTATCTACCATTCCTATACTAAATCTGTGAATTTTCTTTCAGTTTCACTGTTTAGTCTCAAACAAATACTCATCCAAGATTCTTCTTCATAGAACAATCTCTCCTTGCATAGTGACTCAGTGAAAGCAGATTTTAACAGGACTGCTACACTCTTAAGCATTGATATTGTATGTAAAAGTCCATTAATAAGTGTATGCAGATTCTTCATGAAAGTCTCTAGAAGTTTAACTAACCAGCTACTGTTGAAACATTATAATTCCATGTGGCATCAATTTTCACCTGTTTTGTTCATTTCAGACCATTAGAAACAAACAGTATTATCTTGCTATCTTGAAAACAATGTCAAATTAAATAAAATCAGCAGATTTACCCAAAAGCAATATAACGTTTAATAATGGCCATGAATACTTCAGTCAGATTACCTATTTTCCAAGCTCTGCATCTGGTTACCCGTGCTGTCATGTTTTGGACCATTCATCTAATGTGTGAATAATAATGAGACAATTCACATAGAATTTCAAAGCAATTGTGAATAAATTACACCATTTCACATTTGCTTTTTCCTCTTCTTTTTTTCCCCTGTTATAAACTGCACTGCTCCTCTGGTGCCACTGCAGGAAGCGCTGGTGCATGAAACAAACCAAAATGAATTTATATCAATAATTCACAAGACTTTAAATGGTCTCATCTCATTCCTGATATAATGCCTGCATACCTTACTGAACTGTAAATTCCATTTCTATAAACAGAAAATGGTCATAGTAATGTAAATATTATTCTGTCTCATCTCATTGAAATAATACAATATGTGTATTAAATGCCATCCAGATATTAGTTAATTGCAATTACCTTCTGCTATATAATCCTGTATATCCTTTAATCTGGTGAGTTATTGGATTCTACTCACTGGGCTGTGACCAGATAAATAGGACAAATTTGCATTTAAAAGTTTCAGACTGTTATGATTTTTAGAGCTGGCATTGGATATTTGCAATAAGAGCAGTTTAAGGACTCTGCCCAATGCACATTAAAGACGAACATTACTGTAGCTGTTGTATATTAGCTCCCTCTTGTACTACCTTTTCTTAAAAATCAATAATTCCTAATATTTTGTTCCACAAGACTATTGCAAATGTAGCCAAGGTGCATCATTAGAGAAATCATCCAGTTTAGGGTTGTCTGAAAAGGACATTTGCAGAACATGCTCATCCTGTATTATCTGCACATTGCTGTTCCTGAAGTGGTCGATACACCCTCCTCTGTCCTCTGAGGGTTTCGGGAACATGGCTGAAACATGAATCTGACAGCCTTTGTCAGGCTGTTTCTGGCCTCAGTAACTAATGAATAAAACCACAACAGTGAGAACTACTTAGAAATGTAGATGAAACGTGGTTGCTGGGGGTTTTTATAGAAAAAGAAAACAAAACACTTGAAGTATTTTTTTTTATTAGAGTGAGTACTTGAGACTAAGTAGTGTTGGGGTGGTTTTGTCATAAGCCAGTTTTCCATTCTTTTTGCACGATCTCACTAATGAGATTCAGTAACTATTTAGTCTAATTAAGTGCATTGTCATCACTTGTTCCTTTAATGTAGACTGAAATCCTAGACTTCCATGCATTTATGAAGGATAGATATGTCTTGAAATACAATCTTCAAACACAAGACTGTTCAAAGAGTTCGCTGCGATCACTCGGTGAAGACAATGTATTATCTTTCCCCTGTTGCTTGCAGTAAACAGACTCCTATCTCCCAACTTACCCCGTGTTCCCAATCTTTTGCTTAAATAGCTTAAGAAATTAGCCCACCTGGTTTTGTATCCTGTGACTTAGTTTGAAATGCATGCTGAATCAATGGCATGATTATAGTAAGTCCAGCAGTCAAGTCTAGGATCACAAGCCAACATACTATTTAGCAGCCTTGTTTCAAAAGCGGCTTAGAAACAAACTAAATATGGAGAGTGAATTACCATCTTATCCCTGGGGATGATGCTCCTTTGGGTTAGTTATTAAGGATTATTGCACTTTTACAGGCACTATATTCATCTCATTTCAAATGCCAACATGTCATCTTTGTGGAATCATTTTACCCCTTAAAATATTACTTCCAGCAGAGTTAACCAAATGAGATTGTTTGCTTGTTTCAGTCCGTGGGGAAGCAGCATGTGTTTGCTTGGGCATTTGCTATGTCTGCTCTTAACACTGCCCGCTTCGGGCATTCAAAGTCATGAACCAAGCACCAAAAATTACAACATTGGCTTCAAATCGGGGAGGGGTGGGGGAGGTTAAATAAACTTTTTTTGTTCTTGTATCGCCTTCTGAATACTGAGCTTTGAGACTGATTTCATGACACGTTTTCAGGCATTTTTCTAGCATGCAGAGGGCCAGAAATGACACATTTGTTTCTAATAGTGATAAACTGGGACAGTGATGTAATCTCTTGATTTCTGCAGCGGAGATTTAAGAAGGACACCAAGCTTCACAAAAAATTGCCTGAGCTGACAAGACTGTCATTTGTGTCCCATGCTTCGGGAGGTTTGGAGCAATATCAATAGTTCAGCAGTGAAGGGAGCATGCCAGTAAAGGGCTAAACACAAGCATTTGGGAGCTCCATCAGTACAAGATCCAAGGGTAGCAAAGTCCTAAGTGCTCAAGCAAGGCATTTACATAGCACTTAACCTCCATGTCAAGAGCTGCAGCAGGTCTTAAGTGAAGTATTTGACTGAGTGCAGTGAGTATCTCTAGCCATGTGATGTGTGCTGGCTCCTCGAGAGCAGGGATCGAAGGGAAAGCCTGAGGTGATGTATCCCGTATGGGCTATGTTCCCCTAGACCGTGTCCTGTTGGTCACTGATCTCCGCTGTGCTCCTACGGCTCCTTTCAAAGGATGAATCGCTCTTCCCGTGCTTAGCGAACTAAGACTGTAAATGGTTCATGCTGAGTTTGGATAGCCCAGTATCTCTGCTTTTTTTTTTTTTTTAATTTCATTTTATTTTGTCTTATCTTTATTTTTTTAGTCATTCTGGTTTAGCTTATAGCCTTTTTGGTGGTAGTGTTGGTGGCAACTTTCACAGCTTGCTTCTTATACCTTAATTTCACTTTTTCTTACATAGCCTTTGGACTTTTAATCATTTAAACAGTCTCTCTGTGAATATATTGTCTCATTTATAAATTACCTCCTCTGAAGATAGGGACAGGTCTGTTGCTATCAGTATGAGGTTTTTTTAAGAATCAAGATGGAGATTTTCATTCCTCCTAAAAAAAAAAAATCTGAGAAATTTAATCTGGACCTTAATTTCTATGCTTTTTTAATTTCATAGATTTTATGATGTTCTTCCATTATAACAGTTTAGATTCACTGACAGGTTTTTAGGTACTTTGGAACAAATATTTTCATTGTATTTCTATGAGTATTTAATGTTGCCTAAATTCAATGATTAGTTTTGTGAGTGCAACTTAAAAGATAGCAAAAATGGGGCTGGAAGGGATTCTGACTTAGGTATTAATATTCTTCTTTGCTTTGAGTTCAGGACAAACTCCAGTACACACAGTATTGAAGCAAGCACTGTCTCTGTGTGTGTACACATATGTATGCATTTGGATGTGGATTTGCAACAGAAAGGCCTTGGTCAATGTTGCTTCATAGCACAGGAAAAAATATGTGATAGCCATAAAGAGAAACCACTCCAACCACTGCTGAGTGGTAGCAGAATTATTAAAGTGTTCCTCTGTAGTTTGTGTATAGTCCTGTTTGCATCTCTTGTCTCCTTGCAGGCAATGAAGCTGTGGCAGAAAGTAGCAACAGCTCTGCCATCTTGGTCCTGTGGTCCCTGAAGTCAGTATCAAAATGAATGTGCTGTCAGCGCATCGTTTTTCAGAAGGCTAACTCATTTGCAATAGACTGGTGTCTTGAAATTTTAAGAACGGCAAAATATTTCACAAGTCACCAAAGAAAACTGTCGTTTTGAACCAGGTGTAGCAATGCCCCGTATGTGGGCAGGCCCGCAGGCCGAGGTGTCACTGCAAAGGGCCTTTGCCGTTCGCAGCGTCTCCCCGACCTCTCCGGAGTGCGCTGGGAGCGAGGCAAAGGGGACGAAGATGAGAAACCAGTCCACTGTCCTTAGGACATCTTCCAGCTTTACGTACTATTTTATAACTACAAATAAAACAAATGCTGGGAGGGCTCAATTCCTCTATTTCTAATACTCCTCCCAGACTTCCATGATATAACCAGACCACTATACACAGCAGTGCATATAGGTATTCTGTATTGTCTAATGAGAGATATATATCTTACTTGATATAGTGATGTATTTTAGATATATCGCTTGATATTTTGTAGCCTATATGTTAGGCTAAAAGCTTGGTTAGGCTCTCCTTCATTATCGAAACTGCCCTGCTACTGAATGTAGAGTGTTCCTGCCTGGCCTACAGAGTAGCCATCTTCTCTACAGCATTCTTGTCAGGCCTGCCTTTCTGATGGACTCAGTAGCACGACTTTAGCCATTCGGTTTCAAAGATGTTTTGTCTATTTCTTTTGTCTTCCAAGATCAGTGATTCTGATCATCTCATGCCAGTTTAAACCCACAGTGGCGGCTGCTGAAGTCAGAAGGGATTAGGTTCAGATCCCAGGGGGATGCCGTGGCTCTACGGATAGAAGTGAGAGCAAACTCAGGTGCAGATGAGTTACAGCATAAAAATGCTGTCAGATGAGAATCAACCCTGGCCACACCAAGAGGCGCTTCAACAGAAATACTATGAAGATAAGCTATGCCTAGAACCACAGGGTATGTAGCAACATCTCAGGCAGCTCATTGACACCGTAATCGTATCAGGCAGTGGTAAAGATGTGAAGAGTGGTTTAAAGAAACTAGGGCAAGTTGGTGCGGTCTGGCATTATGAATTTAACCTGTGTGTTCTCCTTGGGAAAGGGCATTCATTACTGTTGATATGTCCTGCAGAATAACACCTATACCATGGTATCCTACAA